TGACTCTCACCCTCATTTTCTTCACTTCTGATTGTTCTTCTGCATTCTTCCAGGGTCTTTCTCCAGCCACCACTTAAATCTCTTGTTTTCCTCCACGGTTCTGTGCTCAACCCACTCTTCTTCTCAAGTCTGTATCTGGGTGAACTCATCTGCTGGCACCACTTCTCTGCTAATGACTCCAAAAATCCATAGGTCCTGCCCAGACTTTGCCCAGCTCCCTCCAACACTGTCCAACTTTGGGTTCCTGATAGTTGATCACCGGCTAGATAGCATCACCTAAATATCCAAATCCCTGGTACCTTATTTTCCAATGCGTTTAAAATTCAGCACCTCATCTCCATTCTCCTAAAACTGCTCTGTCTCCTTTTCTATCTTGATGACTGGCAATATCAATGCCTCCCCCTTACCTGCCCCTGCCCAGGAGCCCAGCTAGAAACAAGGGTGTAATCTTCACCTGTTTCCTTTCCCCTCACCCCCAAATCTAATCAATCACCCAGACCTTCCCATTTTACACGCTAACCATTTCTCAAAACCTCCTTGATTCTTCCACATGCTCTTTTCCAGATTGAAAGGTCAAGAAAGGTCATCTCCTGTCCACTGTGAGGAACTTGATCTTGACACTGCACCTTAGCTGGGCAGTCCTCAACTTGACAAACTGTTCAATTATGTTTCTAAATCTCTGTTGGCAAAACAAGAGATCCTTTGACCTGTGTTTGTGATCTTGGTTCACAATGGACATAATTGTTTTATAGAAATGGTGTAGGAAAGAGAAGTAAATCCCAAAGGCCAATCTTCTGATTATTCTGTGTCATTTACTAGCCTATCATTTATGATAATGTTGCCTCTACTGGCATTAGCATGATATTTATCAGGAGAAAAAAAAGTAATGCCAGATACTGAAAGCTCCTTGTAAATCTTAACACAGATACTGAAGAAGGGTTAAAACCATGTCTAATTATAGGGTACCTTCCCTTCATGCTACTTCATGCTCTTTTTATGAATTATCTCGTTTTTTCCTCACCACAGCCCTGTAACAGTGGAGACGGAGGCGTAGCATGATTAGTAAGGTTGCATGATTAATAAGGGCTGGGCTAAGACTCCAAAATCATCTGTGCTTGTCTCGTAACCCTGTGCACCTTTGACTATTCAACAGATCCTGTGTCAGGAGTTGGGATTCTTTAAAGGTAAGGGCCGTGACCACTGAATTAAGGTAATCTTGCTCCGTGGCAGGCCTTGTTTTAAGTATTTTATATGCCCTGACTCAGTGGATCCTCACAATAATCCCGTGAGGAATGTTCTATTATCTCCGTTTGATAGATGAGGAGGCAAGGCACAGAATGGTTGCCACGATTACACAGCCAGAGTGTGGATTTGAAATCAGCAATCTGATCTATCTGTGCTCTCAGCCACTCTGCTCCCCCAGCTCCTGATCCATTTCCTGTTTCCCTTCCCTCCATTTCTGCTGCACTCGGGACCCCCCTTTACCCTCCTTCCGCCTGTGATATCTACCTCGGTAGGTTTTTCTCCTTGATTCCGCAAACCCTTGCTGCTATAGGCAGCTGCTTCTCTCAGGGACACGAGGGGTTGATACTCTGTGCTGGCGCTGAGACACCCTGCTGATTGTCCATATCTGTTTCAGATTCGGAGCCGGGTTGATGTCATCAGACACGTGGTGAAGAACGGTCTCCTCTGGGATGACTTGTACATCGGATTCCAAACCCGGCTTCAGCGGGATCCTGACATATACCATCACCTGTAAGTCTGAACATGCCTGTCGTGCCCTTGGCTGCTTCAGAAGGTGCCGTGGGCGTCTAAGCAGAGTCAGTGACTGACTATGCCCCCCAGTGTTGGTGGATATATGAGATTCCACCATTCAAGCTTTGTTCTTTGTTACCCTGTTGAAAAGCAAATCTAGCTAGGAAAAGAACATTTTAAAGAGTCATCATTGATACATTCAGGCAAATGTGTTTCAGCCTCTTCTGAAAGTGGTTTATAGTATCAGAAAGGGAAGGACATTGTGAGGGGGAAAGGATGTGTTTGGCCTAGATAAGAATGAGGATGGGGTGATCATTGAAGACAGTCATTTCCCATGTCCCATTTGCCTGTGCCCAACTCTGAGCATGCATTTGGTGAACTAGTTGATTAAGGGGAATGGTCCTCTGAGTTCTGCCTGCCTGCACTTCTGAACCATGTAAATATCTTCTTGCAAAACTATATATGTCAGGGAGGGTATAGCTCAGTGGTAGAGTGTGTGCTTAGCCTGGGTTCAATACCAGTACCTCCATTAAATCAATCAATCAGCCTAATTACCTTATCCCTCAAAATTGATTTAAAAATTTAAAAATAAATTTATAAAAAAACTGTACACATCTTTAAGATTATATTTGGAATCTTTGAGTCGAAATGTTAGAAAGGCCCATTTGGCATTTTTGTATTCACAAAATAATCAGCAAGAGGAAGAATACTTGCTTATCATGACCACTGACCCTCTGAAAAGTGCAGGAATTTAATTGTACATGAGCAAAACCCATTATCTAGCTTCTGCCTTGAGCTTGTAAGCACGGGCATGTCTTAAAAGCTCTTTTTAAGTTTTTCTCTTCTTGAATGTTTTGAAATTATTTTTAAAATATTTGAAGAATGTAGAAACATATAAAAGGAAAAGGAAATAATGCTACCCTTCACCTCCAGCAAAACTCCATTTCCTGCCTTTTCCTCCACCCACTCTCCAGAATAACGCTTGATAACAGCACAGTGTGCATCATCCTAGACCGACTTCTGAGCATATCAACATTTCTCTAAGTGAATTCATTCTCAATAATAACGTTCCATATAGTGGGGGTGGGAGGGTTATTGTTGCTGTCATTTTTTAAAGGTAATCCTAGTATATGTGTTTTGTAATTTGCATTTTTTACTCATCAGTGTATCTTCAGTGTCCCTAGTGTTGGGACACACAGATCAACCTCAAATATTTTTATCTATTAAAGTATAATCAGTTATAATGTGTCAATTTCTGGTGTACAGCATAATGTTTCAGTCATACATATATACATATATTCGTTTTCATATTCTTTTTCATTTTAGGTTACTACAAGATATTGAATATAGTTCCCTTTAACCCCAAACATTTTAACAGCTGTAAAATATTCCAAGTTTTGTTCATTTTCAACAGAACTTACACCTGACTTCTTGTTCTGGAAAAAAATGAATGTAGCCACTTTGGGTGAGAATCAAATGTTACTTTTTGTAAGAAAATAATTTCACCTTGAAAACTTATGGCATATTGATGCTAAAGACTTTTTTGTTCTATTTTTTTGGTAAGAGAACCCATACGTACATGGAAGACAATCCCATAATGAGTCCTGGGAAGCAGTCATGGCCCAATTTATCTTTCTTGCTCTAAAAATGGGATTTGTGAGTTTGTTAAATATTTTTCTGATCATAAAAATAATACATACCTACTACAGAAAATTTGAAAAAAATGTTTAAAATACAAAAAAAGAGAGTTAAAACTGCAAATAATCCCATCATCCAGAGAGAACAGTTTATAGCTGGGTGTCTCGTGAATCTTTCTGTGTTTATACGCATAAACACATGCACTTTTTTTTCTATAAAGAGGAGATAATACTTTACGTAGTTTTGAACCCGCATGTTTACTGAACAATCTTGGATCCACCCTGTAAGTTTCTAACCTGTCACTATTTGAAAACACTTAAAACACTATTTGAAACAATAATTTGGCAAATAAACCCAGAAATGTGTCTTGCTCACTTTCATAGTGATCTCTTAGGATAGATTCCTAGGAGCAGAGCTGCTGGACCCAACATGCACAGTGTGTAGACTTTGGGTGCACTCTGCCTAATCTTTCTTCAGGAAGCCAAGCCCTTCTTCCCAGAAACAGTGCATAACCCATTGATGTGAACCCTCACCAGTACCAGGTCCTAATGCTTTCATGTACAGAATATAAATCTGTATTTTTACATATAAGAATTCCTTAAAGCAAGGCACGTACAGAAAAATAAAAACAAGACACACTTATGTTTTAGAGGACTGCATTCAACACACTGAAAATGCTGAGCTCCATGGCTCCGTGAACATCTGAAGCTGTACCGAAGTGCTGTCTCTTAGAGAGACCTGAGTACCAGGTCCTGAAACAAATCTTGATGAAACAATAGGCATGGAGGTTTCCAGAACATGTTTTTCTGCTTTATCTCTTTTACAGGTTTTGGAACCATTTCCAGATAAAACTCCCCCTAACACCACCCAACTGGAAGTTCTTCCTGACATGCTATGAACAGAGCAGAGCTGAGATTTCCCAAGTAAAGCATCCTGTAGACCTGGGAGACACCCTTATCATATGTGCTATCACACTCTCTTCAGCATCTGAATTCAGCAGGCACCATGCCTGGCAGAAAGCCTGACTTTCAGGGGAATGAGAGGAGCTAACATTAGAAGAAGAACATTTAAGTTTAAAAATAAGTTAATAAAATGAGTAGTGAGTACATCCAGCCCAAAATCCATGGAATCTTTGGTCTGGTTGAGGTGAACATGCAGATTAATAAAT